ACCTATCTGTTTGTATTGTAGCTTTGTCAACGAGCAAGTTGCCAAGAGGCAGTCAGATGCATCAAGGGGTGTCTATGTCTTTTCTGATATGAATCCTTACGTTGGTCACCCTAATCCCCTAAAAGAAGGCCAGGAACTGTTTCGCAAAGGGCTTTTAAGTGAAGCAGTCCTTGCTTTAGAGGCTGAGGTTCTGAAAAGCCCTGATAATGCTGAAGGTTGGAGACTACTTGGGATCACCCATGCAGAGAATGATGATGATCAACAGGTTACTGTACTTTCCTGTTTAGTTTTCTGTTGGAGAATAAATCTGTATCTTTACTGTTAAATAGATTTCTCTCATAATCTGTTGCTACCTGGTTGAGTCATTGCTAATATTGCTTCCTCATAATTGATGGTTTTGAAATTTTACATATGGTCTATTAGTTAAATGTCCTTTCATATATTGCTGCATGTTGAATACCTTGCAGAGCCTCTTGTGAGAATCTGTAGGATGCATTAAAGCAATTTTTTAGAAAGAAGCTCGTGAATTTTGCCCCCCCCCCAAAAATAAAATCTCATTGTGGATGTTGTTTCAGACATATCTTATACTTTTTCTTTGCTATATCTCTTGGAGCATTGAGTAGTGAGTACTTTGGATGCTTTGAACAGATAGGGTATTTGTGAGTGTTTTCTAGTAATTCAAATAATTCATTTGTTTAAAAAATTACTGGAGTATAGAGGGGAAAGATAACTGAAACCGAGGATAAGATATCCTTTTAAAGCCTCCTGCAAGCAGAAGGCGAAACAACAAGAACAATCAAAGGAAATTAATACAAAATGCACACCCCACATACCAAAAAGCAAGAATATCTGTGAAGTAATGATAAGCTTTTACCCGTAGAAAAGGGAAAAAGGTCATCCTTTTCAAATGGGAAGAAACAGTCTTAAAAATCCTACAAGTTCCCTCCAACCACAACACCCACAAGCACACAAACAAGGCTCCTTTTTAGCTGATCTTAGCATGCTTTCTCACCCAGAGGTGCAGATTCGAGCTTATGGAGCAGTCTAACAAAACTGGAGCAGTCCATACCAACTCAAAAGTATCGAACAACTAACTAATAGGCTTTAAAAACTGATGGATATCTCTGCTGTCTTCCGTGTTAGAAAGTCAGTTTCGGTTATAGCCTTCTAGAAGTCTTGTATACATTAAATTATATGGAAAAAAAGAGTATCAAACAATTTATTCCACAAATTCCAAGCTGCATTACAACGAAGGAAGAGATAATCATGAGTCTTTCCTTACCTAAAATACATAACAAAAATATCTAGTGAGAGAATGCAACTAGGATTGCGAACTTTCAGCAACTCATGAGTGTTAAATCTGTTAAAAACAACAGTCCAAGCAAAAACCTTAATCTTAAACAGAATCTTCACTTTCTAGAACAAATTAGTAAATGAAATATGATAGCAATTAGGGTTATCGGTAATATTGTCAAGAAGTCTAAGGTTGGAATCCTGCTATCATCAGGCAGGTGAAAGTAATTTTCTGATAAACTCAACAAGGCTAGCATTTAAATGGTCTTCTTATTATTAAAATATCCGGAAAAAGTTCAAGCCAAGATGCATCAGGCGGTTAATAAAGTTGGAAACTGGAGCATAACAAGAGGAGATATTATAAAGAGGACGAAACGGTTGGCTAAATGACTATCACCAATTCAAAGATCCTTCCTGAACAAAATGAGTGATCCGTATCTCATTCTTAGATGGCAAAAGGGGTAGAAAGATCATAAAGAGAAGAAATGGCCTTCAAAGGCTTTTTTAAGTAATGGAATTTCTGGCACCAGAA